AAAGCGAAACTGCAACGAGTCCTCGAAGTGCGATAGGCGATCGGAGTTCACCGCTTCTCTTTCTGGGCGCGCCAACTTCGATAGAGGCGTCCGGAAATTACGTCATAGTAACGTTGGTTGCCCATGGTTTCTGCATATTAGAGCGCATCCATTCCCTCTTCCCCGGCGTCCCTCCCGTCATCCACGAGCGGACATTGTCGATTCGAATCGGCCGTGCGTTTCTTCCTGGTACATCAAATCGATTCGCGTTCGCCGAATTTAAACGCAGAGAGCCAAATTAGAAGCTGCCCCTGAAAACCTACGTAATAATGGCGCGACAATGGTTATCTTTGTCGAATTTTCGGACAATTTACTCTTGACGTTCTGTCCACGACTTTTTCCTTGCTTCTTGAGCTTTGAATGAAAATTATATTCACGTGTAATTTCATATAATGTTCTAGCGTGAATTTCAGTTGAAGAATAAGATTGCGTGCGTCGAGCGCACGATTGCCAATATGAATTTGTTGCGCAAATATCTCTCGCAAAAATCAACCTGAAGAATATTAATATGCAGCGCGCAAACTTTTCCTTATTCTTGATTTTTTTAAGAACTTGCCGTCACTGAATATTAGAAACTAATTTATCTCGCGATTGGCGGACAGGTGGGCGTGGCGCGAAAATTGGAGCTTTATTTATTGCGCGGAGTTTGATCGAATCGGATAGCGCTCGAATGACTGATAGGAAATCCGAATACTTCGGAACCGTTTGATGAGGAGTGAAGAGTGCTATCCTTGGGTGGGCAAACGAAAGGGAAGATAAATGGAATTCCGGCGGAATTCCGCGAGGCTGCGGCGGATAAATGTTTTAGGGACCTCGAGGCCTCCGGTGGTTTTACGGTAATCAGTCGGTGAATTCTTCAAGAAGACTCTCGCCTCTTCCGATTTTTTTTTTCTTCGCTAAATGAACGTTTTCGCCGTTATGTCATTGCAGCTGAAAGTTTAACCGGTGGGAAAAAATTGCATTTATATTATCTTAAGTACGGTCTTTAAATAAAGGAAAAGATATTTAGATATTTAGATTTTTGGCGCATTATCCGTGTGACAAGAGAAGGAATAGTGCATTTGTAATATAAAAGTCGAAACACGCGATAAAATATCGCGATGAGGAAGGAAAGAGAAGGTAACGTTACAAATATACAATGAGATAATAAACTTCAAGGAGCAATCAATCAGAAGGCAGATGTGACTAAAGAATAAGACGGATGAGTGGCTCTGTGTTTATCGGGGGACTTGGAGAAGCGATCTTGATTGATCTGAAATACAATATTAGCTCTACAAACGGATATATCTGTCGGTCTTAACGTTGTGTGTATTACACGGATGAAAGCGGTATTTTTACACGCTCTATTTTTTCGAAAAACACTTTTTCCCACGAGAAAGAAAAACGAGAAATTACGAGGTATCTCTTTTGCGGAAAATGGAATATGCAGAAATAGATTTTCAATCGCTGCGCGATTCAAAATGCCGTTTATTCTAATTTTGATTATTATTTTATTGTTTCTCGCGTACGCTCTCGCATTTTATCTCCGTCTTAGTTCTTCCTCAATTACTAATGTCTATCAATAGAATGCACTTGATCAGCGATATATTCGCGACGATTAATCCGCTGATAACTCCCTTCCACCGCCTCGCCGAGAACTCGCTCGCAAAACAGTGGTTACGCGTCTCGACAATGTGAAACCGAGCGGAATTATTTCCGCGGCGACTCGCTCGACTCACCGTGGCCGCTCTCGAGATCATCCTCTCTCTGTACTCGGCCTCGAAATCCTCTCGATATCACTCGCGACGGACGGACGAACGGATCGCAGCTGCGCGGCGACGGCGGCGAATACCGAAATAATCGCGAGTTCGCGCGGCGCTATATTTAGCGCAGGCGGCGGCGCGAGCGAGCGGAACGATTCCGCGCGCGAGATCCCTCGCCGCGCTTTTGCTCATCCGGCGAGTCCGCGCGCGGATCGATACGGCAAAGTGTATCACGGCTATCGATCATCGTTAATCCGACGACAAAGGAGCGGCCTATTTCTCCGGTCGGCTCGGCTCGTACTCTCGTCATTGTCCGTCGTCCGCGCGCGCGTTGTCATTGCACACGCTCGTGTCAATTATATTTAGCGTGTCGCCGCGTGATCTCACTGACTCACTGCACGTCGCGGCACACGGGAGAGAGACGAGAGCGAATCTCGTTAAACATTCGCTGCCATGCATCGCACGGGGAACAGAGGAACGCGTGTTGTGTCGGGATCCGTGTATCGGATTCTCGGTAGGCTCCGCCGGTCGCGATCATGCCACGGCCGTCGCTGACTCACTAAATGCTCGATATATGCGTGCGCGAATCGCGCGTGCAACGCGCGGAGCGTGCCCGATTCTCGCAGCCGCTCGCCTGCTCACGTCAACGGGCAGTTTATCCGGCAGTTTATTTCGAATCTCTTCGTGCTCGGCAACATTCAGGAAGGATGTCGAAAATCGCGTCTAATCTTATCCGATGCGGTCAGCTCGGTTAGGATTCCTCCGCCGTGCGTTTTACAATTTAAATTGACGAACATTGAAAAATTAAAAGGAGATTTAACGAATTCCAGTCAGACTTTTTGAAAAATTGACCGATCGCGAGACAGATTTGGCATCGAAAGACTGATATTTCGAATTCTGAATCGATGCCAGTCGCCCCCGTTTTTCAATCTCCGAGATGTAGAATAATCGGATCCGAAGATAAAATAGCGATTTAATTGTAGCGATTAGCTGCGAGCTGATATTACGACGATGTCGACGTAACGATATCGAGTAATGCGTTGAGAGTGCCTTAACGATGGTTCATTGAAGCCAATAAACAAATAGAGACGTCAACGACGGGCGAAAGTTCTCGGGAAATTAATTGCAGTAATATCACGCGTCGCGATACGTCTTTTCAGCGAGGCTGACGTATTTATGCGGGCGGACGATTATGACAAATTCCGCCTTTGGGGCGCGCGGAATGCGACAAAATGAAATTCAAGTGAAGACTGACAGAACGCAATAATCAGAACGTCTCTCGCTCGCGCGACGCTTATTTCTATTTATTATATCGCGCGAGACTACCATCGTAATTGCGATAATTATCGGCGGCGTTAAATCAACGTCATCGCGCCTCTCCTCTCGCGCGAAATTCCATGCAATACTTAACACGAATTTGTACGCCCAAATTAACAACTAAACGGATTAAATTTCGGCAATGTCAAACTTTTAGACGAAAGAAGCCTGTATTAAAAAAAAGAATTCCACTCTAATTTCAGTGTTATTTTCCATTTTATTATAATTGAGATAATTATACGTTTTGCAGATGTGAACAATTATTCGAACTTTATTTTATACATATAAAACTTTTTATTATTTCAGATTTGTAAGGTGTACATTTTTTTCTACTCATTTTGGGCAATGTAGAGCGAACGAAACGATCGCTACTCCATTATTCCAATCGTTTCGATTGTCATTATTTCGGCAGGTCGAGAGAATTAAGGCGGGAGAAAAAAAAAAACGGGAGCAACGAGGGCGGAATGGAATCGCGGGACCGGTTAATGACGCAATAAAATCGCGCGCGGGCACGAGTGTGTAGCCGGACATAATTGGCAAAGTAATCGATTTATAGTTATTAACGCGGTAACGGTAACATTCACGATCGTTTGCATATTCATGACAAGGAAAGTTCACTTGGCAATTCACGGTTGCTGCTGCTGCTACTGCTGCTGCTGCTTCCAGCGCCACGGGTCGAGACGCCGCAATTGCACTCGGGACGCAAAACGCGTGTCCCTTAGACCGTGCTAATGAAAAACGACGTCACTTACGCGTCGTAAAAATTTGATGGCCTCCCGCGGAGCAAACGACGCGGGGAGAACGACAATGATCGACGCCTGTAACAGCCTTGTAAATTTCACGCAAACATCGTTCCACTCCCGCGTGATACCCGCGTGCGTACATTACGCTTCAACAGATCGTTACTAATCTGTGAGACGGGAGAAGCTATTACTCAGCTGAAAATTATCACTCACAAATTTCCGGTCAGCGGAGATTAATACGTTACGCGTCGCCGTTTCTTCCTTTGTCCTCGTCAGAGCGATCTTACTTGCCGTCGAGAGAAATGAGAATCTCTCTCTCTCTACTAAAATAATATGTTATAATAATATTTTATAATCCGTTAAAATGTAATGTGGACGTGAATTAAAATAATACACACGTTACACGCTTAATTATTGAAACTGTTGCGAAACCCGAGAGTCAGATCGCTAATGGATTCTGCGAAAGTGCCGTGATATAATTGGCGAGGCGCTTCTCTCCAAAGGACGGGGTGGGCCTCCTAAAGCCGTTTGCGAGATGTTTCGAACATATGCAGGCGTCACATATGTGACGAAACACATGCGTGTCCGTCATGCCCCAGCAGCGAGTACTGCCTCGAAGAGGTCTCCCCAACGGAGGCCTCGTCGAGAAACAGCTGTATCTCTCTCTCTCTCTCTCTTTCTCGCCATCTCACTGTGGGATCCCTGCCGTGACAAGTAGTCAGAAATACACGCGCGATACACGGAAGCATATCGCCTAACAAGGAAATTCTGCTTCTCTGTCGTCGAGAAAAAAATGGACGAAAATAAATTCAAAATATAATCAGCGAAAAATAATGACGGGGGAGATTTTACAATCGGGCGCGCCATAGAAAAGAAAAATTATTAAACGTATCGTAGTAAAAACGAAAAAGTCGCGTATAAAGTAAAATAGGTATATATTTTTGCATGAAATATTTTATAAATGTGTGCATATTATAATCCCGCGAGAGAGAGAGAGAGAGAGAGAGAGAGAGCGAGAGACGCGGGAAATTAATTAGGGCAGCCGGTTATAAAATAATTGGAGCTAAAATTCTGCGAGCGTGGCGGGAATAAATTTTCCGCTCCGAAAATGCAATCGCGACTTTCCGCTTTAATTTCTCCGCGTCACGGCCGGTTTCAGCGCGATGCGGGTGCTGCTGTCGAAATTGCCGCGGCCGTGGATCGTCGACGAGAAGAAGGATGATGGCTACACGGCACTCCATCTGGCCGCTCTAAACAATCACGTGGAGGTCGCCGAGCAACTGGCACGCGCTGGGAAAGCCGATTTGGACCTGCAGAATGTGAACCTGCAGACCGCCCTGCATCTGGCAGTCGAGCGACAACACACGCAGATTGTCCGAGTATGTTTGCTTACGCGAAAGCGATCGCGGACATGATAAATCGATTAGACAAATGAAATTGTGTCTTCAACGACAGTTAGACATCTTAGATTGATATCTGATAGATCGATCGTCGTTTATTTGAGGAAAAACCGACCGCATTAACTTGCATATCCGATCCGTAGTTGCTGGTTCGCGAAGGCGCGAATCTGAACGTCGCCGACAAGGACGGAGACACACCCTTGCACGAGGCTCTTCGGCACCACACGCTGTCGCAGCTGCGCCAATTGCAAGACGTGCAGGATGTCGGACGGCTGCTGATGGGCCTGGGCACCCAGGGTCAGGACAAGAAGAGCAGCTCCTTTATCGCCTGCTTCTTGGCGGCGCACGGCGCCGATCTCGAGCTGAAGAACAAGAAGGGCCAGACGCCCTTGGATCTCTGCCCGGATCCGAATCTCTGCAAAACCCTCACTACGTGCCACAAGGACAAGGAGTCGTTAGTACTCGAGCGAAGGGGGAGACTCTCTCCTTCGTTGATTTTCAATTAAATGAATTATTTAATGCGTTACTGAACCGTGAGTTCTTCAAATATTTTTATTCCGAAACAATATAAAAGGATATAAATTTGATCCGAAACACTTGAAGCAATAGAATTTTTTAAATATCTTTAAATATATTTCTAACATGATTTCTTTCCTCAGACACGATATCGAAGTCATCCCGTCAGCGGCGATCGACGAGTGCCTCGTGTGCTCTGACGGCAAACGGGAGATGCTTTTCAGTCCTTGCGGACACGTAGCTTGCTGCAACGTCTGTGCGCCGAGAGTAAAGAAATGCCTAATTTGCCGTGAAAATGTTCTTTCCCGAGTGAAGGTAAAGTTGCTCTTTTGTATTATTGTACACGCCGGATGCTTATTGCCTTTTCTAAAGCTTATCTCTCATCCTTGTTGTTTCATCAACGTATCTTTATGCACATCCTCGCTGAGTCCTGCCAATAATAATTACAAGCTTTCTTCCTTCCGATAGTTAAGACAGTAAAGAAGAAACTAACGCTACCTTCGTATACCAAAAATGTGTTTTTACGCTTTTCAGCATTTAACAAATCGAACGACATCCTTCGGCAATTCCGCCGCGTAAATTAAAAACTGTTGGCGCAGCAACCGTTTTGCGTCTCGGGAGAAATGTTCAAAATTCTAGAATGTCCCGTTCGCGCCCTAATGACGAGTGTTTGTTTTCCAGATCGAAGAATGCGTGGTGTGCTCGGATCGCAAGGCAGGCATGCTGTTTCGCCCGTGCGGACACATGTGCGCCTGCGAGAGCTGCTCGGCCCTAATGAAGAAATGCGTGCAGTGCCGGGCTCAAATAGTGCACATGGTGCCGCTCTCGGTGTGCTGCGGCGGCGGAGGCGACGTCACTTACGTGAAGGGATGCAATGCCTCAGGTATACAGCGCCCGCTTTGCACAGAGCGCATTCACAGCCGCTCTTGATAGCTCGCTTCAATCTACCTAATCGCACTGAATATATTGAACTGTATTCCCATGTAGAATGTAGCGATTAGATAGCTCGCTTCCATTTGCTCGTGATCGCGATGAACAAATCGAAATGTTCTCGCATAATGTGTTCTCGCATTCGAGTAGTCGGTTATTTTAATAATTATTTTATTTTTCTAACAATTAGTAGCGGGAAAAGAATCGAAGAGAGAATCAAATTGAAACTCATTTTTTATTTATAACAGTCAATTGCATAATTCGCTAGCTGACACCTGAGTGACAAATCAAATAAATGAGATATTCTGAATAATGTATGTATATCTGATGACATTTCTATTATTAATACTTTATAACGCTCGCCATCTGCTGTGTAACTGTTATTATCTGGGTTCTCTTTAGATTAAAAATGTATTTCGGTATTCATGTGAAATTGAATATTGCTAATACGAATGATGTGACAAATAAGAGCGTCGTTCATCGATATTATTATTATCGGGAAACGAGTGCTTTTTTTGTTTAAAAACCAATTCTTACGATTCAAAGGAATAATATCCGAAGCCAAGACGGACATCGAGGAAGAGCCGGCGCCCTCGAACAACACCGTGGCCGGGGAAGCTCTTTTAATGAACAACGGCAGTCGAGATACTTCCCACAGCGACATACAAAAACTACAGCAGCAATTGCAGGATATCAAGGAACAAGTACGTGTCCCCTTTGCGTCTTGCTTCGTTATGCGGCGCTTTAATGAAACGAATAATTTCGTTTGTACGGAAGAAAGAAGTCCGCGCCGCTCTCCGTACAATTACCTTTCGTTCTCGGAAAACCGGAGTACCTTTTCTCGGACTGAATTCTCGGCCTTTTTTTTTTACCGTGAACACCACAACAGCTTTAATTATCATCCTGTTATTCAATTTATTGTTTTGCTCGTTCCCGACAGATCTAGTGTGTGTTAAATTACACAGACACTTTTTCATTCGACATAAAATTTTAGCAGAATTAAAAAATGTTTAATTGATAAAAAAAGGACGTTAAATTATACAAAAGTTGAAAAATTCAACTAATTGGAAACTTCCAAAAATGTTGAATATAACAGTAAAATCCGGTAAAATGATTTGCTCTTATTATGAATAATAGAATTCTGACAGAAATGTCGCAAATAATTCGCGAGAGTCTCTGATTCTTTTATTGTTGCAGACCATGTGTCCGGTTTGTCTGGATCGTCTGAAAAACATGATCTTCCTGTGCGGACACGGCACCTGCCAAATGTGCGGCGACCGGATGTCGGAGTGTCCAATATGTCGCAAGGCGGTCGACAAGCGCATTCTGCTCTACTAAAAATAAAAGACAAGTCACCAACCACGGCTACGCGCTGGAATTTCCCGAGGACAATTATCTATACGATAGACGAATCGTACAACGGCTCGTACAAAAGAATCACAATTTGCGATCGTTCGCGACAGATCGCAAAAAGAAAAGCTGGTCGCTTCTTTACATCACATTTACTTTTGTCAGATGGAATATTATGCCAGACCGAATTGAAAAGCATCATTGTTTTCCATAAAATAAAATACGTCGTAATACAATAATGGCATAAAACTGGAGGATAGTATATCACGATGGTGAATGCTAATTATTTTCGAGCTATATTAGTTCATAGAAAGCTAAGCTGATTGATAAAGCGCGATGAAAAACGAGACGTACGCACAATTATTATTTAACATTCGTAATTCTAAAGCAAGGAAAACTCGTTGCATGATAAATGATATATTATATTGTTAAAGTTGCGTTTCTCATATGACAAATGGCTATTAACACACACTGTATCATATTTCCACTAAGAAATATGCGTTCTACAGAGCTTTTATTTATAAGTCATTCGTAAGCACTTGTTTCTTGCATAATTAAAAATTGAGAAAAAGCTCAGTAGATATTAGACGAAAAGTTCTTCCAGATATTTATTATTACATAGGAACAATGTCTTACATCTATATTGAGATTTCCACGTAGATTGCCAAAATTAATAAGTAAATTATTGTATTTGTGTACTATTTTATCTTTTGAAGTATTAAAATAACAAATTATTGTAGGATTGTGAAATTATATTGTTCATTGCAATCGGCTTAACATATATGACATTATTTATACAGATATCAAAATAAATAAATAAGTCGATAGAAATGTTTTGAGTTCAATGCAGTGGCAGATCTATCGGTGGACGAATAAAGTTTTCTTTTTTTTAAATTTATGTCAATTGTTATTATCTATTATTTTAATAAGTAACAATTATATTAATTGATATGTTACTGACATTTCAAGTCGTAGTTTTTGGCACAGTTTCTTATGTTGGTTAATTTGGTTAATATAATAAATATATATATATATATTTATTTATTAGTATTACTATATACATTTCAAGTTGTAGTTTCTGGCAAACAGTTTCTTATGTTAGTTAATTTGGTTAATATAATAAATAAATAAATATATATATATATATATACATATTTATTATATTACCAAATAACTACTATAATTATATTCAAGGTCATAGTATATTGTATAGGTGTTTATAAATGGAACTTTTTTTGGAAAAGAGTCGGCCAAAAACATCAAATCATGGAAGATGTAGATCTGTCACTGGTGCAATAGACCGATTCTATTGTCTCCAATCATTATCTATTATTATTAAGGGTGTTATATTCTCTTTTTCTTTCTATATAAATATATACATAAATTTTAATTATGCATTTTTTGTATATATTTCTCATACAATAGTGCTTTTGCTTATATGTATGTTATTTTCGAGTATGAATAATGAAAAAATGGAAATTTTATTTTATTTGATTTTCAGATTATATAGCATTTAATTAGTTGAGGATTAACTTGATCTTGAAAAAATTATTTATATTAATATTTGTAAAAAATAGAATCCTTAAATGAAGAATATGAGATAAATGGACGTATAAACTAATAATATTCATATTCGTATACCATTCCTGTTTTGACAGTATTTGTATGAAATTTTACACAATATGCATTATCGGCATATGCATACATCGTAATACGAAGTATACAATAAATATGTGACAAAAATCCGAATTATATTACAAATACACTCTACAGAATGAAATTGTGGTGTTGCATTATTAAAATATTGCTTTCATGTATTCGACAATTAAATAAAGAAATTTTGTAAACTTGCCACACGAATTCCCTGATTAAATATCGTACAATAAAATTGTGATTAAGCGTACGATAAATTGCTGCATGGATTGAAAATGAATAATACATGAGACGCATATTGTACGAAAAATTATTTATTTTCTTCGACAATTTTCATTTCCATATACATTTATATAGAGCCACATTTATATTGATAACTGAATGTACAGATTTCTGCTCACTTGCCTTTTTTCCTTGGGTTGAATAATGTACTCTGCTAAAAATCTACGAAGAAAGTATTGAATTTACACGCACGATATGAACATCCATTCCAGTCTCGTACCATTAGCTATCCCTAAATCCGAAGACTGCACTGCGTCTTCTGTTAAAAGAGTTCTCGTATTTTTATTTTATAGACAATTCGTATAAAACTATCTCACGCATTCGTACAACATGTTCGCATTAACAATAACGGCACTTATGTTGTAAAAAAAATTAGACCGAATGCAGTGACGAGCTGTCGTGATGACTGCCTCGGAAAGAAAACCGATCCGACACGAAACACTGAAAGTATTCGCTTAGAAAAAAAAAAGAGATAAAGATGTGCATTCAGATGTAAATATAGCGATAAAAAAAAAGAACAACGCTTCCGTTTTCGCGTATATACGAGCGATTGCTAAATAATTTACTATGTTCAGGCGTTGGGTCGTGTGCGTAAGCATACATCTCGGTAGTATTATTATATTAAATATTTTAATTACATTAATTTAATAGCTTCCTAGTTGTTCTCTGTATTACTGATATTTAGTCAAACACGATAATCGAAGTCGCAGAGTTGCGTGACAGAAGATTACATATATTTTATTTTTTTATCTTTTCTTTTTTTTAAATCCTCCCCCCTCTGCGGTTTGATCGGGTTAGACTGTGATTGATTCAAGCTAGATTTTACCTCTTTGCGACCCATTTCACCGTTATGCCTGTTCATCGTGTTCCACGTCACGTACGCGTCCACGCAATACGATCGATCTCGTTATAACAAGAGTTGTAACAAGACCTCGTTATACAGAATGTTCCAAATTTATCTTTGAATTCTGTCCAATGGCAACAAAGCTTCGACTATCACCTTCATCATATCAACGGGTCACGAAGGAAAAGCGCGTCATCTTTAACATTCCGACGACGAGTTTAGATTAGGTGGAGAAAGCTTCTTGGTCCGAGTGAGGCGGTCTAACTCCGCCGCTGCATCGTTGCACATCGTTGCCTTGTCTACCGGAGAAGCAGTATCTGAAATATGAAACATTTTGTTTCAGTGCTAAAACTTAAAAACATTAATTGCTAGGACAGTTTAATATTAATATATATTTTATTTATTTTTATACTTTGGAATTTTGTATTATATCAGTTGATAAGCTTAAAACGCTACTGTGATGCATTGAAATCTTATATTTTAAAGAAAGAACTAGTTTAGAATTCTAAAATATAAGATTTAAATGCACTGTAATAAAGTTCTAGGCATGCCAAATGATATGACATAAAATTCTACAGCATAAAACTGAATAAAACGTACATTTTAACATTCTGCACCATTTCTTTCTTTAAGATACGAGATTTCAATGCATCGTAGTGAAGAAAATATAAACTTCAAATTTCTAGGCCTATCAATTTTTATAAGATTCCAATGTGTAATAATTTAATAAGATGGACATTTTAACATTCTAGACCGTTTCTAAAATTCTAGGCCTCTTTTAAGAGTGGATTTTCAATGGAAGAAATTACAAATTACATACCAAGTTTCAAAGGACTCGTCCCTACGCTGCCCGGCGTTCCCGGCGAACCGGGCGGCACTCCAGTCTTCTTGTACAGGAGAGAATTGAAGAAATTGGCTAGGACACCTTCCCCAGACGGCGTCGCGCCGGTACCCTTGGGATCCAGCTTCTTATTCGGCGACGCCACCTATTCGCAGAATCATTAATATTCGCCCACTAACGAGAAGAGGGAGCAAACTACTCGTAATCGACAGATCATACCACATAGATTAGAACATGCTTTCAAATGTTAACTGCAATAACCACACGAGATGGCGGCTGGAATTGAAATTGCGTGAACTTGTTAAATGACACATTGCACGATGAACTATCAGGAGTTTTTTACTTATGATGTATTGCCATCCTCAGCACTATCGAACTAAATTACTGCACGTTAAACAAAACAGACACAATTCGGTATGGAATTCGATAAGACATTACTGCAACAATGTTAATGCACATGTTATCATTCCATTAAATTCATTAGGTACATTAAACAATATGGATTTCTAAAAGACTAGAAGCTTATACACGAAGGATAAGAATATATTACAAATACTTTTCACATGAAGGGACTCGCTATATGAATAAACGAAACAGCTATATGAATACGATTATACTGCAATGAACGTAACATATTAACTAGGTTATGGAATCAATGATTTTGTAATGGATGTACACTCGCAACGAATGTGATTAATGGACCACTCGTACGATTCGCAAGTGCGACGAGAACATTAGTGGCAATGCTGTGGCTCCTTGATTCGACACGCAACATGAAGAGCATGCTCTATTTATAAATGGTATAACCTGTATAACTGGCCCAGAGCTTGCCTGGTTCCGAGTCGTTGGCGAACGAGTGGGATCTTTCATGCCCGACAGAGCGGCTTGCTGCCGCGCGAGGAAGGCCTGCTCTTCCTCCGCCTGAACCTCCATTTCTCTGGCTACACACTGAATCAAATATATATTCGGGTAACACACTCTATCGAAAAAGTTTTACAGAGCACAAAAGTTATAGAGAACAGTAAGACAGCATACTTTCCGATTTGTCACTGGCTGCGCAATAACGTCGCGATAGTAATCATTCGCCTTCATAGATTGCAAATTTTCATGCAGGATGCTAATCTTCTTCATGTTATCCCAGCCAGCAGGTCTGCAAATGACGCGCGTTAATATGCATGTGTGTAGAGAAATTTTTTGACGTCGTCATAAATAGAATGCTCTTACATAAGTACTGCGTCCTTTTCGACGACCAAAGCTGGTGTCCTAAATGGTAAAGAATAAATCCTATGCGTAAGATATTTATAAAGCAGATCACAGTTCTTATCTTCTTTCGCTGATGTATAGAAAAGTCCGGCGCCGTACTGCAAGCAAAACCGCCTGATCCACTGCTGCATGAAATCGAAGTGTTCGTCTCTGAATAAAAAAAAAAAAAAAACAGTAATCAAGTGAAATCGATATTTACTCTAATGCTGATTCTGCGTTCATTTAATACTTACTTATAATCCTGTTCCTTTTCAAGAGTAGACATGTAATCGGTTTTCGTTATAACCACGACAACGTCTAGGCCCAAGTTGGTTGTAAGTACTCCTTCCGGCAGAGGTAAGCTTTCAGCAGTGTCGTCATCCAGATTACGACTGGTACGTCGCAAAGGACTGCCAGGATCCAGCTCGTCTCCCGGTTCTGTGTAATCCTGCCATTTCTTAATATCTAAACAAGAAATAAAATTGGGCATAGTAATACTTATATTTCTCGAAAAATTTACAGTAAATTTTCTTTTAAAAATGCAATATTGAATCATCAATATTTCAAATATTAAAAAAAAATTATGAATCAAACCAATGAATATTATTCATTGCGTATCTACTACGTTTGATTCCACTTACTGAACTGCCTGCACCGTTGCCTAGTATCATTATCTAAGGGTAATTTGTCAATATGGTCGCCTAATAATGCAGCCCACGATTGAAGCTGATCGAGAATAGCCCATGGCGTAGTCATCGCGGCGACTAACATAATAAGTGTGTGTGGAAACCTCTCTTTGTTCAAGGCAAATCTCAAAAGATTTGCGTGACCAGGGTCTCCATCCAGAACCCATACAGATAGTCTTGTGTGATCTATGAAGAAATCATATATGTAAAATACTATCAACTGATAATCAAGGTATCTATATTTAATTGTATACTAACCGTCTCTGTAATCATCTCTCACATCGATATATGCGAATTCTAATCCGGAACCCTTCTTTGGATCCTCCACGCCTTGCAGTTTAGCTATAAGTGTAGTTTTTCCACTCTCATTGTCACCTAAAAGATATATAATATATTCATATCTACAACGATTAGAGTGATAATATCATGTGTTACATTTGTTATTAATAATTTGTAAAAAGAAACAAATATATTTTCTACATAATACTTGAAACACTAGTATATCTGCACAAATGGCAGTAGATGCATTTTGTTGATATAACCTTTGCTACAAGTATGCCATGATAAAACGTTACACATATGAGACACATTGAAAGAACTGATTTGTTTCCAACAAGTAGCTCAAATACGATAATGTAGCACTCTTTTTTTATCGATGACACACATGTTGTACAACAGCAAAGATACTTAATATGCATGCTGCATCAACCCACGACCCATCATATCCAAATGACATATTGGCATTTTTACCTAGAACGAGGACATTTTTATTCGATGGTAGCTTATTGTTGCCGCTGTTCTGCACTTCCGCCAGAATAGACGACCTGCAAAGCATACGATAACGTTGAATAAGAGACGGCTAAACGTTAAACGTGTAATTTTTCTCACGCAATAGGATGTGTCATACGAAGCGGAAGGCAACTCTTTCTCACGTAAAACGAACGACCATTTCATGGCAAATTTCGACACATGACAAAGATAGCATAAACTACATCACGCACCATAAGTTGTCCTTATTGTCGATGTCCTCTTTCTTTTTGGCCTGAAAGCCATTGCTCTGCAACATTGTATCTACCGTCGCCGCTGCCATTATCATCCATTTGACAGGAATAAGGATATCGATTACGAGTGCGCTAGCGTTGGTGGCGCGGGTGTGGTGGATCACGGATTCGACCTTCTCGCACTTCGATTCCGACCGATCGCTGCAAAATGAGTCGATCGAGTTAAAATCGAGTTTGTGATTCTCGAGACATCGATTCAGTCGAAGTATATCAGCCGTGCACACTATTTAAAATAGATGCACTGAAAAAATTTAATTCTAAAAAATTCTTGAAACCAAGTGCAAAACGACGAGTTATTATTGAAGCATTTTATTCAGTAATTACGTATAGCAGTCAGCAACATAATTTTATTAATAAAATACAACCATTTTTGTATATTAAACATTATTTATTAAATCTAGTTCATTTACACTATTGTTTTGCATCTTCACATCTCGCCTCAACTTGCATAAAACTCTTTCAGATACTCGGCTTTGGGTTTCAGTATCATTTTATCTTTAAGACTTATCACCCAGCCTGGTTCAAGACCATAAAACAATTGCCGGGGATCCTTGCGCTCGCACAGCATCTCATAATCAGGATCGTCCTCGATTCGCGGTAAATCATAGCCGTACTTCTGCGCTAATACTAGACGTTCTTGAGAAATTTTCTCTGGATCGGCTAAGTACCCTCTCATAGCGGCACTGGAATAATATTCCAGGCAATCTGTTGGCGGCAAAAACCTACGCGGTATTGGTTCACCTACAAATTATATAAAAAATATCGTGAATGGCAGATCACTTTCCGGAAATTTTTGACAAAGAATATCTTGTTCAAATTACCTCTGCTGAAAAACTGTTCTGTGTCACACAAAGCATGTAGGGAATGCACATCATAATAAGCTGTTGTAATTACTCCCCCATTTCTTTCGATGGCTGCAATTACAGGCTCGCTAGCCCATTGTACTTCTATGTTTACTTTAGCTTTGAAATCATGTACACCCTTAAAATAGAATTTATATTAACGCACAATCTCTTAGGATAAGTGTACACATATAAAGTTATATTACTTCATCTGTCAAATGAACGCCTGCATGTTTCCAGTCTACTTTTATATTGTACAGACCAGTGTTTATTAGAGATATGAGATCGATTGGCTTAGTAATGTCTATCCGGTTTGTGTCAATGTACGTCTGCAAAGCTTTTAAAGAAAGTGGAGGATATTCTCGTCTTAAACTGAAACATAGGATATCATTATTTTTTTTTAATTCAATATATATATAATTTTTTTTTTCTACAATCTTATAAAATAAATGATCCATGAAACTTACTGATGGCCCTTGTAATATGGTTCTTTACCAAACCTCAAATAGAAAGGGGTATTGCCAGTCTCATAACCCAAACGCATAAAATTTTGTCTTTGGCCTGAACCTTTGTTTCCAGCACCATGCTTATTACCACCATGTTGACCTCTACCACGTTTCTATATAAAAGTAAAGAAGAAATCAAATGATGCACACACTCACGATAAATATCTATAGTAAAATAACATCTCTGTGTTTCATTGAGATTTCATTTCATTCAATGCAACATTAAAACGTATAACAAAAATCCAATTATATCATTATTTTATCAATTACTTTATTTAAACTTTTGCAAAGTGACAAGCTTCAAAATATGTAAATTCTCTGATTGTCTTACAGTCTTTTGTTGTGCACCAGGGTTACCTCGGATATTTGACAATGATAATCTAGGTAATACTCTTAACACGGACAAAGCCAAATCTTTTCCTTGCTTCCCAGCCATATCAACTTCCCAGACGAAGTAGTAGTTTGCCGATAAATAAATCTTTAACAGTACATTCGCACATGTATATACATTAACCTGAAAGACAGCAATAAGTTTTCTAACCTAATCAAAAATTATCACGAGGCGACATCAATGTTCGCAACAGCGACGCCAGATTTGAGACGCATGTAGCAAGCGGAAAGGAGAGAATCAGAGCTTGAAAAACGACGGCGCATGGCCCATCTAAGGCTTCTCTGATTATATATATATATAATATAACATATATTATAAATATATTATATATATAATAAATATAAAGACGTCTAAAGACGTCCTCTCTAAGATTGTTCTAAATAAGACATCTTTAGGACGTTCTAAACGTCTTAAATAAAATTTCCCAAAAATTAAAAAAAACA